GACACCAGCAGTTTATTATTATAATTATTATTAGTAGTAGTAGTGTTGTTGTTGTTATTGTTGTTATTATTATTATTATTATTATTATTATTATTATTACGGAGTAACTTCAAAGGTTCTAGATACCGATTGTAAATCCCTGCAGAGAGAGATTTTCAGAAGAGGAAAGACAGCCTACGTTCGAACATACCAACAATTACGTAACTGGCGTTCCCTTATTTGTGTTGAAATAAGGCGTATGAAGGAAGGAGATGCCTAGAGACAATATAAAGGTCAGTGATGATGGGTGGATGATGATGATTATGACGATGAAAAGAAACAACACTAGAGTCTTGGAAAACTTGGAACAAAGCGACTGGCATGAAAATGTCACAGGTTTTTGTACCTGCAGCTTCTAACAACACAAAGATAGGAGAATGATTTACCCGTGTGCAGGGATGCTCAAATCGTTCTAAAAGATCAAACGAATATTACATCAGTAAAAGATATTACTCCGGAAATAAGAATATGCAATAAACATGTGTTCACAAAGGCCTGTCACTGGACCCCATCATGGGCCAGTTCACACCCTATTTCTCCACTAACTTCCTCACTTGAAACGTTGAGCTGAAATACTGATTTTCTACTTTACTTAGCACTTTACGCTAATGTTGTTTAATACTACCTTAATTAGAGTAGATTTTGTTGTACTCAAAAGCAGTCACAGTTATCCCCGGCGGCTTTACCCTTGATGCCCACTGAGTAGAAGGCTGTGTGGGGCCCAGAACCAGTCTGGAGCTATGGAGAAGACAGATCTCGAAATAAACAAAAAATGCAAGACGCTGGAACTAGCCTTAGTGGGTATGTAATTTAATGTTTCATACGTAGAAACTGTACATACAGAAAGGAAAGGTCTGTACAAATCTGGAAAACCAGTGTCTATTCTGAGTGGGCCAAACATTCTCTGAAGGGCTTGGAAGCGATAACAGTATTCTTCCAGAAACATTCTGCTAGAAAAGGTTCTCGGGGGGNCTATCTGCTATTGTACACAGATACTGTATACTAGAGATGGTTGTGGGGGGGGGGGGGTATTCCAAGAGCGCAGTCGATTTGTGAATGTACTCAAAAAACTTCAATTTTCTTCATTCATTTTCAAAATACTTCTCCCCCGCGGAACCGATTCTTAAAATCGCAAATACGCGAAGCCTGCACGAGGGCACACGTACGTTCCCTGGGTAATGCCTCAACTACAAGGCAGATTGTCTAAGCCGAACACCTACGAATGAGTGATGATGTAATGTCCCGATAGATATATTACATCGTTTGCAGAGAGAGAGCGACGGAGAACAAAGATTCCAGGCTCTAGTTCTCATCTCTTTTTGTACAGCCCTTCATGATTTTAATTATAAACTTAATTTAACATTTTAAATATATTTATTTCCGTCGATAACAATATTCTCAGTTATGTAGGTGCTTGTGGTAGAGAGAATGTGTGGCTTTATGTTTCAATGCCAAGATGTCAGAAATACAAGACACAGTAAACTGTAGGCATAATTTTGACGATCTCTAAATTGAGAAGCCAACAGTTGCTCAGCCACTTAAGAAATTCCCAGCATTCTATGGAACCCGAGGATTCAATACCGTGTTCACAAGAGCCAGCCATTGGTCCCAGTCCTGAATCAGCCAAATCCAGACCATTCCCCCGCCCTATTTTTCTAATATCCATTTTAATATTATCCTCCCACTTAAGTCCATGGTCTTTTAGTGATCTCTCCCCTCCAGGTTTCCCTTCCAGAATTCTCTATGCACCCTTGTCCCATGCGTGCTAAATGTCCTGCCCATCTCATCCTCCTTGACTTGATCATATTATTTATATCTGACAAGGAGTATAAGTTATGAAGCTCCTCATTATGCAGCTTTCTCCAGCCCGCTATTATTTCGCCCAGCTTGGGTCCAAATATTTCTCCCAGCACTCTGTCCTCAAACACCCTCAGATTATGTTTTTCTCTTAATGTGAGAGACTAAGCTTCAAATCCTGAAGGGCCGCGCCATAGCTCAAGCGGTTAGTAGCTGGCTTTCCACCGAGGCGGCCGGTGTTCGATCCCGGGTCTGGTCAAGTGGGATTTGTGGTGGACAAATTGGCGCTGGGGCGGGTTTTCTCCAAGTACTTCGGTTTCCCCTGCCGATCTTCATTCCACCAAATTCTCCATCATCATAAGCACCCGGGGCAGGCTACAATAGGCCAATCAGTGGCAGCCGTGCCGAGTGGACCCACTCGGACTCCACAACTCACTAAGTGAATTAAAAAAAAGTTTCACATCCATACTAAACCACAAGCAGAATTACAGTTGTGCATACAATCTCAATCTGGTATACAATTTCAATCTTTATGTTTCTAGACAGCAGGCGAGAAAGCAGAAAGTTCTGAGCTGAATAGTAGCAAACATTCCCCCATTTTAATCTACCTTTAATTTCTTCATTAATCAAATACTGATTTGTTACCGTCATTTCCAAAGTGCTTTAACTCTGCCACGTTTCCAGAACATCTGTTGACTGTCTTTATATTATTAATCTCTCCCGCGCGTTTTTTAACGACGCTGTTAGTATCGAGATTGTCGATCCCGCATTCTCAAAGCATCCGTCATTCTCCTTCCCACTGAAGGTTATAAGTAATTCATCTATAGCGTAAAAACCCGTTGCGCTGACCACGTGACACCACCCTCTAACCGAAAAAGTTGGCACTAACTTCGCCGACAAGCGGCGGTCGCTCGGTCGGTATAGTTCTCTTGCGGACTACAGGCCACGGGGTTTGTTTTGTTTTTGCTTATAGCGTAAGAACTGTACATGTTAATACCTCAGGTTTGCTTGTCTTGTATTTGAGTGAGACGAAGAAAAATCGTCGTGTGCGTTGCTACTTAAAATGACAAGTTTGTAATGGCGTCGAGTTTATTAGAAACCCGGTTTTCGGGTAAGGCAATCAAGGAAATGTAAACACGCATGTGTGATAAATATGGTGTAGTATCGGTAAATGTAAGATGGAGGTGTAATAGTGGATTATTTTACGACGAAGCGATCTTGGCCTAATCAAGATACTGTCTCCAAATTTGTCTGGAATGACTGCGAAAACCTACGAAAAATCCCAGTCAGAATAGCTCGTATTCCGACCGAGATTCGAACTATGTAACTCTCAAACACGTGAACAGAACGTTATCGCTACACCAGCGAGCTCTGTGGATGTGTGGCAGTGTACACATAGGACTACGTGCACTTTCAAATAATTTAAAGGGCGGTAAAGAATAATAGTTTTGCACTGTACTAAACAGGTACGGGAGCAGAGTTCGCTCAGTCGACTAAGCTACGGCTGAACGGCCGAGGAATTGTGTTCGATTTCCGGCAGGAGCAAATGATTTTTTTCTTCACCACATGTCTAGACTGGATCTGGGGCCCACCTAGCCTTCTACCCGAGAGGTACCGAGATTTGTTTTCCCTGGAGCAAAGCGGCCGGGGCATAAAACTAACCAATCACCCCAATCTACTGCTGAGATTATCAATGCGTGGAGCTATGCCTCCACTCCCCATACGCTGTCACTGCGTTGTGCTTACGGCTAAGAACAACCTTACCCATAGTAAACAGGTACATAAACAGAAGTTGATGTATAAATATCACACTGAGTTTAAAGACAATTTCTAAGTGATTCAGTACCACTTTTTACAAAGTTTGTTGCTCTGATTATCAGACAACTTAAAAACATGCGAGTAATGTAGTCGGTCAATTCCTGTAAGTGATAGGAACTAAGCATTTTTTGACTCGTACGCATCCCTGCTGAAGCACCATCGGTATTAACGTCGGTCTGTCCATCCCTCTGTACGCATCGACCCGTGGGCGGGAAAGAGCACAGATGTGCTACCTCGACCCATGGGAGGCTTGTATTTGTTTCAAGAGAGGTAAGATGTTCAGCAGTAAGTCACAGGGGGCGCAGCTTTTTTCTTTAAAATGTTCTTGCCAGCACAGAAAGTGCCTGGAATTTTTAAAAAGAGGTTACTTGGACGGGGTTGTACACTTTCTTCGGTCCTGGCAGTATGTGTTCAGATGGTCACGAGCCGCCACTGCAACTATCCATTTGCACTTGATGTTATGTAATATATGTAACTGAAAAAACGTTGTTAAATAAAAATGTGTAAGAAAAATAAATGCGATATTTTCATCAATTGGATCGTTTTACTTATTATACTGTCAGAGTGCCGTTATATTAGGAAAACCCATCACAATCATGACTACTTTTTATCGTTCGTGTGTTTCCTTCTAACATGTTCTGAAAAGTTCAATATTCACGCCTTGTTCAGTTGGCCTTCAACGGGCTCCCTCGAACCATTCACTTTCCCAGTGATTACGGACCACCTGGTGGTCCCAAATACAAATTTCGATCTTTACTCCTACCTGACGATAACTACGGATTCTGTAATGTATGTGGGCATGTCAGAACATATCCTTTCCTTGCGTCCCCAGTCAAAAATCACCTTCATTTCTCATACCATACTCCATCATCCACACGAAAGCTATTTAATAACATTGATCTGTCACTCCAGTTGTACTGAAAATAACCTTGCATGTCAGTAAAAGAGTGGCAATGTGAAAAAGGGGTGTATTTTTTGCAATTATTCCGTTGCATTACATTTGCTCTGTCGCAGCACTCCATTACAGCCCTATTACTTATTGGTAATGCTTCAATATGAAGGTAAACGAGGGCCAAGAGCATTTTTTTCAATTGATTTCAATTTCCTGTGGGGGAGGGATAGTTACACTGGTTAATATATCAGCACTATCAGCAACACCACTACTACTACTACTACTACTACTACTACTACTACTACTACTAATAATAATAATAATAATAATAATAATAATAATTTAACTTTGTCCATGAATTCGGAGTTCACAGTACTTCCGTCTTGATGCACCCCAACATATTTTGAAAATGAAAAAATCTGTAATTGCTATAAGTTCCAGTTGTAATACCTACACAGATTATTGAATGACGGCATAGATGTCATTCATTTGTTCTTCACAATACACGATGTCAGAGACTAATATTTTTCTCGAGATGCGTACTTGCCGAAGTCCATGATTCTCCTTGATGTTTGGAACACTTGCTCTTGTGAAGTCGCACCATGATGTACTGCTATTTTTATAACACACGTGTTTCACTCTCGATGCGATGTTCTTTTTGCGAGGTTCCTACGGAGCTCATACGGCTGCAACGAACAGTACGAACCTCCACAGCACGTTATGGTGCTCTGCGAAGTCTGCGAACAACCATGTCGCTGCTGTATGTCATACTATTGGTTCCCCGGGCAACCGACGCTGCTCTCTGGCGCAAGTCAGACGGAGGCAGCCTACAGGCTTGTTAAAACATGCAGCAATGCAGAACCACGATCCACCATTCCAATGAACAAAAGATCTACAACTTTCCATACCCCGCTGACAGTCAACTTGAATACAAAAACGCAATGCATAAGCTCACCAAATGGAATATGTCCTATATGACTAACAACAAATAAGATGGAGGGGAATAGTTCACTCAGTACAGAGACATGTATGGACTAAACGACCGGTTACGAATTCCTGCAAGGACAGGGAGTTTTCTTTTTTACCGTCAGGTTCTGGCTGGCCGTAAGATTAATCCTGCTTTATAGTAATATGTACCTAGAGTATAGGGGCCGGAGCGTGAAGCTGTTCACTGATCTACATCTAGTGCCAATGCTAGAAATGTGTGACATATATTTCCGCTCCCCCACAGGTCTTCATGGCGTGATGTTTAATTAACCGAGGAGGCAAATGCCTTTCTATATCACTTCATCGAAAAGGTGGTAGTCTGGCTCAAAGTTGCACCAATGAAGCATTATATTTCTTTTATTTAACCAGAAAACTTAATTTCAATTTCTTACACTGCAAGAGGGCCACGCAGTAGCGTAGTTGGTTTGAAGCACTATACTACAAGCCGGAAGGTCCCAGGTTCGAGTCTCGAGGAGGTAGATATTTTTTAATTTACCTAATCCTTCCAGCCGGACTGTGGCCCTGGGGTTTACTCACTCAGCCTCTAACAAAAATGAGTACTAGGAATCTTCCTGGGAGGGGGGGGGGAAGGGCGCCTGGTGCGTAAGGCTAATAAACTTACCGCCACCTGTTAGCCGATTGTCTACAGAAAATATGGGAACCTCGACGCCTCACTACCTTATGGGCCTTTACGGCCTCTTACAGAGATAGTTTTACCTTCTAAACTCCAACACACTAGGAATGCCTAAATATTAACTACAAACGGCATAAAAAGAGAATAATTGAATTTCGGTGTACAAGTGGACTACTTGCTGCAAATAACATAAGGAAGAGACTGTTCTTCACGACCAACAGCATTCTTCATATCTGATTATTTTTTTGGAATTAACGAACAAATAATGTTATGAATTTTTAGCTCAAGGCTCCAACTTCTATATTTAGAGGTTCGTATTACTCGCAGCTTCAGCATATTTTTGCAGACCGATTAGAAATGCCAATCTGATGAAACACCTGATATATAATTTATCAAATTTAGTCTTATTTGCAGTTTAAAATTGTTATGCCTGACGCAGATGATTCAACAGCTGGAAATGTACGAAGTTTCGAATGAAAAGCTCTTATATTTTATAATAAATGCGGTATTTTTTATAACGACAGTTGTACTGGCTATACGTTACATCACCCTGCGGACAGCAATGTTAAAATTTCTGCTTTAGTCAGTTTGTCGTTCATATTCACAACTCATTTTATTTTAAGCTTGTATTTTCGTACTTAAGGCCGGCAACACACGCTCCTTGCTTCGTAATTTTTCCTGTGCGCTCTCAAATTGGGAGATAGGACAGAGTCGCAGACATCGTCAATTGCTGGGCTTGAAGGAAATTTGCAAAAGAGGGTGCAGGATAAAGGACGAGTAATAAGAAATATGTGTGGCCGGTCTGAACGCAGAACAGATACTATGACGGAAGCAACTTCGTCTGTATCTTAATCTGCTGAATCGCCCCACTAACATAATGTAATGGTCAGAACAGGATGAAGAGAAATTTCAATTAGAAATATTTACAAGTAGGTCTACTGCATCCGAAATTCGGGCGGCAAATTTATAATAATTTAATTGGGCTCTTACTATAAAAAAAGAAATGTAATGATCAGTCATAATCCTAGTAGCATAATCGGTCACATACTCGTACTTACTTACTTACTTACTCATGGAGCTGAGCCATTCTGGAGGAGCCGTCAATTCTGCAGCTACTCAAGAATTTCCCAGCATTTTATGGAACCTGAAGGTTCATCACCGTGTTCACAAGAGCCCTCCACTGGTCCCTATCCTGAGCCAGATCTATCCAATCCATACCATCCCATCCTATCTCTCTAAGATCCATTCTAATATTGACCACCCACCTACTCCTTGGTCTTCCCTGTGGTCTCTTTCCTTCTGGCTTTCCCACCAATATCCTATACGCATTCCTCGTCTCCCCCATTCGTGCTACAATACCTGCCCACCTCATCCTCCTTGACTGGTCCAAGGAATCAGTCCAGGTCCGAGGCTCTGTTTTCATTTTCGTAACATAATGATTTTTTACGGTGAGGAGTTGTTAGCCCCACGCCCAACCCTCAAGCTGGAGGGCCACCCCTTGTCGACTGTCCGCGACTGCTTATTCAATATATTCACAGCTTCCCTCCAAAACTGGAGGGCATCTCCTCCATCCGCAACCTGAGGACGCGCCATGCCGTGGTGACAGGGACCCACCTAACAAATCGGTCACATACCTTCGCGAATATAGTAGTGACTGTTTCCCAACGACTACTTTAATAGTTGGTAATGATGGTGAATTCTTTTCTAAACGGGCATTTTTCACACACCTGACAGCTGCAGATTCCTAGCTTAAATTTCAGAATTTCTTTCGTACAATATATGAATTCATAACTGCAAAACACTGCAGTAGAATTATTCACAATACAGAAGCCACATTTGTTTACAAAATTAAATATATCGGTTTTGATTTGCAGTCTTTGCGTACTACAATAACGGAGGTACATATCAAAACTTGCGCTGGTAGCATAAAAATAAATGACGATTGAGTCTCGTCAGATAAACTTTTACTTTCATGCTCTCTTGTGTAAAACAAAAGAAACTGGATTGTTAGTCATAATAGATAAGGCCGCACCATCTGTTGGAGGAATAACGAAGACACCTTTTACCAATGGAATTTTTGTTTCTTGTTCCCTTCACTATCTATTTAATAATCATAATTAGTTTTCGCATCTATTCGTATTTCATGGTCACTATACAGAGCGCTAAAAAACACCGCTGTACAAAAAGTATCCGACTTTATTTGTTGCCGCTGCAAGTAAAGGCCAAAGGGGAGGGGAAACAGCATAGTGGTAGAAGGGACTTTCAAGCGCAAGCGCGATTTTTTGCTGACTCGCAACACCGCCAGCTGCGTCTGTGGCTGCCAGATACCGAAGTGGTGTAACACGTGTTCGTACCATTTTCGTTTCGCTCAAGATGACAGAACGCTTGGAGCAGCGATACTGCATCAAGTTTTGTCAGAAACTTGGGGATACCCAAGCGGAAACAATCTGCAAAATTCAGCAGGCTTTCGGCGATGATGCAATGGGTGTCACTCAAATTAAAGAGTGGTTCAAGCGCTTTGAAGATGGTTGTATGTCGGCGGACAGTGACCAGCGTTCCGGGAGACCGTCAATGAGCCGAAGTGCTAATGTCATTGAAAAGTGCGGACACTGATCATGGAGGGCCGTCGTTTGACCATCCGGGAAGTTGCTGATGAGGTTGGGATCAGCAGAGGTTCCGCAAACACAATTTCAACTGAGGTTTGGGCATACGAAGAGTGGCGGCAAAATTTGTGTCCAAGAACCAGCTCATTCATCACACCTGATCCAGGGTTTTCTGGCCAAGCACAGCATTCTGCAGGTTTGCCAGGCTCCCTGCTCTCCTAACATGGCTCCTTATGATTTGACACCCGCGAGGACATCATACAGAACGTGACGGCACAGCTGCATGCCATTAAAAAAAAAACTTACCACAGCGATGGAAGGGTCGCTGGGATGTGTGTGTGTGGAGTCACAAGGGGCCTACTCTGAAGGGGATTAGGTATTGCAACCACCCACATACAGAATTCTCCCTCAGAACTGTGATCGCCTTCACTGATAAATATTGGCAATTAACAGTTTCAGTGAAAATATACATCTCTGGCATATCTTTAACAATTCTAGCTACGAATATAAGTTGAAGGTTATACCCAAGGAACCACAGATGCATATAAGAAAAAGAACTGAAAAAGAAAGCAAGTATGAACAGGCTACATCTGTAACATCCTGGTTTAGGGGAAGAATTCATTTAAAATTTTTTACATTTTGAAAGCTTACCATGTTTCATTAGATGAAATGGAGCTGCAGGTCTTCTAGATTTATTATGTACCATGCATTTAATGCAACAGGGAGTTGGATGTGTTATAGTAGTTTTTACCACTTTATTGTACCTCTACTCCAGTTTGAGTACCATCTACACATACTAAAAATTACTGCATGCTGTTTCAACACAGACATGCACACAAGTACAGTTTTCCAAGAGATCCAGAAGTCCATCCTTATGGTCTTTGTTCATTTGTAGATGTAAGAGTGGAATGAGGCCGAGTCCCTTGGAGCTATACCCTGAAGTTGATCCTTGTATGAGTTCCTGATACTGAAGTCGATCATAAATAAATCTGGAGTATTGGTGGAAAGAAGAATTAACGGAAAATCTGTCTCATGTCACTTTATCCATCGTACATCCCACATGGACTGCACTGAGCTGAATCCAAGCATATGCAGCAATAAACAGCAACTAACCATCTGAACTATGGCAAGGCTGTGGTCCTTATCTGGTAGTTAAGTCTAGTAGTTTTCAGAACAAGAGATCTAATAATTCTCCCTGTTGTGGAGGATGTGCACATGTCATAAAGAGTTTGATTTTTGATGATATCTTCTGCTGTATTTTAGGTATTTTCAAAATAAGGATTATGTGACAAAAATTCAATATATCCACAAGCTGTATAACTATTGCTTCAGAGACCAAAGTTATCTTTGATATTTCATAATACATATAACATATTTTTGAGGATTCTGAATGCAATTAAACACTTCTTTACAATCAAGTTCAATATTTACACTGTAAAATGGAAATACTAACACCATCTTTCAAATGGGTGGGTAGTGAGGTCCATGTAACTCAATGTGTGTATCCATTTCACATTGCTAAACTCCATGACGTTACTTCATCTGGAGTACATGGTACTTAGTAGCCACCGAGATAATCCTACAAGCAGACCAATAATTAAGACACTAATAGTGAGGAATGTTTCAATGCTGGGCTGACATATCTCCAACCATGGTAACTGCAGAGATACAACTGGCACTTCTGGGAACTCTGGTTCCGTCACCCAAACATCACTACTTGAGATTTCACCCTGTGCATGCAGCACCTAGACAGTGAAAAAACACAAAAGTGAGAACAGAACTTTAAAGAACTTTAAAGGTTTCAAAAAGCAAGTTGCATGTGAGATACCTAATGGCTAACAGGAATAAATGGGTGATGTGCAACCAGATGCCATGATACAATATTATGAATAGTAGTCAAACAAAAAGCATATAGAGATTTTTAAATTATAAGAGGAAATTGATGCATTGCAACGCCAATACAAATTTTAACAAACCGTGCTTAAAAATGAAGACAGTCCCAAAATATGTGCCTGTAAAATAAGAGACATGGAAGCATACTCACAGATGAGGACATATCCCAAAAAAACTGACCTTAGGATCTAAGCACAGCAGTTTCATCAGCAGTTTTAGAGACATCTGAGGATGACCATGTTGGTCGAAACATGTAGTGTGATACAGAAGAGATTTTAATGTTTAAAATTTTTAAAGGTTTTAGAAAGCAAGTTGCATGTCAGACAGCCAATGCCAAAGAGAAATAAATAGGTGATGTGCAACAGCATGGTATAATACAATATTATGAACGGATATCAATTAAAATCCTCTTTCATTTTCTCTGTGTATTCTGATCATGAAATGGTAACATAATTTACAAACTGGAAAATATGACAGACAGTGTTTTATGTATATATGTCAAACATCATTAACACATGTATTACTGGAAAGTTTAGAAGGACTGTTGTGTGATGGATATATGGCACTTCTGTGTCATGTAGAGATTTATTATGTTTAACCATCTCTATAACCACACAGCAGTATAGCTGGTTGAGCCATTATGCTGCAAACCAGAAGGTCATGGGTTTGATTCCTGGTGAGGTCTGTGAATTTTTCAATTAATTTAACCCTTCCTGTTGCATTGTGGCCCTGGGGGTGACTCAGCCTCTAACAAAAATGAGTATCAGGAATCTTCCTGGGAGTAAAGGGCAGCTGGCACATGAGACCAACAATCTCACCAACATCTAAGCTGGCTGTCTAGAAAGTGTGGAAGCCTTGATGTCTGACAACCCTATGGGCCTCCAGAGCCTATTACAGGGATAGCTTTACCTTGTCTTTACCAGCTCTACAAACTAACATTGAACATCAGCCTTACTGTTATGTACAGTGTGTATGTCACATTTTATTTCATCACCAGCAAGCCTTTTTATATGTCCCTGCAGTATTAACCACTATTATCACAGCTGTAGGAATGGAGTTCTTTGTTAAAAATATGTACGTAGACATTTTCTTGAACTAGCAATTTGATTTAATTAAGTCCCTAAACTTCGCTGACAAGCGGCAGTCGCTCAGTCAGTATAGTTCGCTTGCGGACTACAGGCCACAGAGTTTTACCATAAATAACCTCAGTAAAGATATGCTCCAGATCATATCATATTGTTTTTTTTTTTTAGTTTTCAGAATACCCCCCTTTTTTTCTTAATTTTTATATGGCACTCCTATTTGAAGATAAGCACAGTGGAACTTTCATAGTCCAAACTAATTAAACATTTATAGGCATATGTAAAGTTATTCCTGTCTTTTATTAATTAAGCATCACATCATGCAATTGTATGGAGAAGTGGATGTATAAGTCCACCATTCTTGATTTTGGCACTAGAAGAAGGTGAGTGGTCAGCTTCATGCCCCAGCAACTTTACTTCTGGGGAAAGAGCCCTGGTAGCAAATACCAAACTTTTTGTAGAAATATTACTGAAGACGTATTTTTCACCACTTAAAATGCTGTAAAATTATTGTTTAAATCTGTAAAGCTATCAAATCATACCTCTCGGGCAGCTCTCTCTCCTGCCTCAATGGCTCCATTCATGTAGCCGGTCCACTGTAGTGCAGTCTCTGTACCAGCAATATAAATTCTGCTGCCAATTGGTTCTCGTATTGCTGGTCCGAATCGAGTGAGGACGCCTGGTGGGCAGTAGGTGGTGTAACAGCCACAGATATATGGCTCCTCTAACCATAATTTTTCGACATAGTGGGCTGGCTGGAGAAACATAACTTTATGCAACATTTTCATATTAGCAACAAAAGTGAGCCTACATGATATCTGCTGACTGCCTGACCCTGAAGATGAAGACAATATAGCCCTTTGAAATGTCAGTTGACTTTCACCAGACTACATGGCACTATATCCCAGAAGACAGAACTCTTTATAGTTACTGCTGTAAGAAACACAAATCCAACACAGACTGAGGGTGTTGGAGAATAGGTTACTGAGCAGAATATTTGGATCCAAAAGAGATTATGTAGCAAGAGGCTGGAGAACACTGCATAATGAGCAGCTTTATAGTTTGTACTCCTTGCCAAGTTTTATTTGAATGATAAAATCAAGAAAGATGAAATGGGCAGGGCATGTAACATATATGGGAAAGAAGAGAAGTACATACTCATACAAGGGTTTGGTAGGAAAACCTGAAGGAAATGGGCTACCCGATAGAAAAGGATGAATCACTCACACATAACTCTCTGACTTTCTTCGAGGTTTGAAGAAACAGGCAAGGCACAAAAATATAAAGCTACCCGTGTGTTGGGTGTTGCTCAGTGAATAAAACAGAGTCACTGAATGGAAGATGCACAGAAGGACATAAAATGATTTTCCACAAAACTCACATATAATGTTATGAAATAAAAAAATAATTAGATGTCATATTCATCAGAGTTATTTTTACCAATTAATGATTCCGACTATTAATGACAAAACAAAATGGATTGTAGTATAAATATAGTTTTCACAGATTTCTCTCTCTCTTTCTCTGAGTAATTGAAGAAATGCAGCTCATAAGTGTGAGAAGTAAGACTTTGTTTCTAAAAGCCCCAGCCACTATTTACAGCTAAACGGAAGCAATATTTTTCAAGAACTCTGCTCCATGCAATTTGTCATAACTGATTGTAATCACACCACGATATCTCACGCAGTAACCACCTTCATTCATTCATGGAGCTAGACCCTTCTTGAGAAGCCGTCAATTGTGCAGCTACTCAAGAACTTCCCAGCATTCTATGGAACCCGAAGGTTCATTACCATGTTCATAAGAGTCCTCCACTTGTCCCTATCCTGAGCCAGATAAATCCATACCATCCCACAGTAGCCATCTTACTTTCCCCAAAACTTATCTCCATGAAAAATCACACGAAGCTTCATATCCTAAGTTATTCTGGGGTTGCTACTCAGTTAGCTAAAAAGTAACAGATGAGCTGTTTTAGTATATCAAAATCTGACATTTTACCTTAAGTGCTTCTTGACTGTCATAAAACTTAGCAAGAGAGTGGCAGACTGCATCTCTGCGAGCAGACTGTTCCATATCTTTAAGTTGGATGGCATGTTGTCCATAAATGAAGCAGATCAGGCCATAGAGAGATATACCTGGTTTGTGGTCCTCCCCAACATTACCAACAACTTCAACTCCATCCATACAGGATACAAATCCATTGTATCCTGTAAAAAGATCATGATACTTCTTTGAAAACTGTGCTTTTACCACAGCATAAATGTCTTTTCATGATACTGTGTACTTCTGCAGACCATTAAGTGTAACTATAGGTTTCAAAACCAAAGACAAAATATTTTCTGCAGAAGTTTTAAGACTAAGCCTGGAAACGAAAGTCCATGACTCTGAAGTGGTAATTTTCGACGAGTCCTAACCATGTTGTCATTAAATATGGTAAATACTTGGAGATTCAAACCCATGCCATTTTTTCAGATTTTCTTTGTCTTCTGGACACTAACTTGCAATTTTTAATATGTATGATGATATTCAGGCAGTAATTCGATCTAGACATGTATTAAAATCATGACAAAGAGACAGACAAGCATACAAATGAGTGTACTATATTAAAATAACAGTAGGATAGCCTCCAGTGAAAATCAATATAGAAATACAGTAAAACCTATCTCAAATGGAACCTGCATATTGCAGAAACCTGTCTGTAGTACAGAATTCCTGTGGTCTGGAAAATATGGAATACATAACAGTATAAAACCACTTGTAATAAACAGACACTGTCTAACATGGAATGCAAAACAAGAACAAGATTTTAATGGAAAATAATTGGTTTGATCACCATTCTTTATTTTCAAGCAATTCTATTCAGTGTTGTATCTCAAACATTCTGTTAACATATGCATATGTCTGACTTACTCCAACCACTGGCAACACTCAGCTACTAATGGCCAGTAGCTAGAAACTTGGAATTTGCTTTCAGAGTAAAAAGTACACAGGTATTTCCATTTAGTTGCAACCATAGTGTTCAAGAAAAGACCAATAATTGACATTGGTACTAAAGTTAAAGTGACTGATGCTAGTCAATTGACAGTAAATCAAACTGTGACAAAGTTCAAAGCTGGAAAACTCAAAGTATAATATTTTAAAAGCAGAGTCAAAAAGAGAAACAGTGGCTACTTTGTAGTAGAGAATCAGTTAATCAGAAAATAAGGAAAATTAGGGATGAAGATATCACTGAGACTGTGTTGGATTGGTTAGAAAGTGTGAGGGTTAGAAACCAATGTACAGGAACATGCTAAAGAAATGGGTAAAGAACTTGGGAAAAATGAAATTCGGAAAGAGATATCAAATTATTTATGAAGTTTTGGGTGAAGCTGGAGATGTTTATGGATAACCTGTAGCAAATTGGGCTGCCAACATGTCTTCGGTTATGAATGGATATGATCCAAAAGAAACTGCAATTGCTGAAGAAAAAGAACTGTTTTCTGCTGCACCTCCAAGCAAATTTCTTTGTTTAAAAGGTGAAATTTGTTCTAGTGGAAAGCTTTCAAAAGAAAGGATAATCAATTTTCCTTAGTGATTTTATGAATGGAGAGACTGTGAAATCTTTGGTTTAGGGAGGTTCACTAAACTATTATGTTTTAAGAAAACTGACAAAAAAGCATAAAGAAACATCCTACATTTTGCAAGTCTAACATGAAGCATGGATGATATTTAATATCCTGGAAGAATGACTGACTGCATTTAATGCAAGGAAGGAACAACAGAATTGCATTGCTGTCTGTTTTTGGACAATACAACATGCCATCCTCATACTGAATTGTCCAATGTACAGCCAGCATGGTTACCACAGAACACCATGAGCTAACTCAACCCATGGATCAAGGCATTAATAAATGTGTTTAACATGAACTATCATAAACCCCTCATGTGATGTTTCTATCCAATATGGAAGCCACATTTTCTGCCATGAAACTTACTAAGCCTATTTCTGTGCTTGATGCTTAATTTTCCCAGCAGAAGCTATGAACACTTCAACAATATTTTTATAATGCCATACTCTCTGTAATGGTTGAATGGAAAGGAAACAAAAGAAAACAACATCCAGGATATTCAAAAATCAGTTCATCAGGCTACATTTAAAAATATTATGGCAGCAGATTACCTTAACATTTATGCTAACATTGAAACAAAAGTCACTACTGAGGAAAACGATAAGTTCATTGAGAAACACAAGTAAGACTGCAGCAAAAAATAAAGGAGAAGGATGAGAAAAGGAGGAGGAGGAGAAAGAGGAAGAGGAAGAGGAAGAAGCAGGAAAAGGAAGAGAAGGAGAAGAGGAAGAAGCAGAAGAAGGAAAAGGAAAATGAGGATGGAGAGGAGAAGACATTTCAAATCTTATTATGATATTCTCCATGCATGTTCACTAAACCAAAATATCTTTGAACTATCTGATACAATATAATTTAGAGCATGAGTACTGACTGTCAGTCATACCTCTAGGTCAACAGAAAACTGGCAGATCGCTTTACTGCATTAATGGAGTAATTAAAGAATGTGTCATGAAGTTAAAAATGTGTCATCCATTTATGCAACACTGTACGAGTATCTCTAAAAGAATATTAATTTAATTCAAAGGGCCAGTATTAAATGGAAACCTTTCTATAACTGAAATAAATTCCAGTTCCTGGGGGTTCCATTTTAGGCAGGTTTGCTGTATAAACACTAGGGAGCAAATGGAGAAAGACACGTAGACAAGCACATGTACAATGTTACCATAAACCTTTCTTACTTTAGGGCCCAATTAATCATGTGGCTGACCACTGCAAGACTGTAAAAAAGAGGAATTTAAACCTACTATAGGTTTGTGTGTATACACCATTTTTATAATTATAAGAACTATCTAAAAGCTGCTTCTAAATATTACTTAATCAAAAGCAAAAGCTCAGATACACATTTTGGATTTCTGTTTCCTGGTTATCAGAAATAGTTTAGTAAGATGAATATAAAGCGGCCTCCATAGTCTAGGGGTAACCTTCCCACCTCATGACTCAAGGTACGCGGGTTCAAACCCGGCGGAGGTCGTGAAATTTTTAAGGGCAGAAAAATTCAGGGAACAAGTCCTCCAGGAGGGACTTTAAGCCGTGGGTCCTGTGTCGTAGCTTTACAGCACATAGAAGAACCTCATGTCTCAAGGGGACCTGTGAGCCAAATTCAGGACATTTCCCGCCCAACAGTAGTCTCTAACGCCTCTGGTAGATGGGGGAAGCATCGAGATACTGCTGAGCCAGTATAGGCCGAACTCGCTGGCTGAGTCGGGGCTGATGGTACGCACCAGTACAGGTAGGGTATAGAGACTAGTAGAATATCACAGGGGGACGCACAATGGACCAATATCTAGTATAAGTGCATGGGGAAATCCACCCTCTCCAATAACAACAACAACAAGATGAATATAATCTGTGGACCATTTATAAATTATATATATATATATATATTCATATTTTAAAACAGAAATGTAAACACAACAAATATGGATGTATTGAATCACAGTTTCATCACAGTGGATTAAAATATGTTGAATCTTTTACCTTTTTCTACCCAGAATTCTCTGTTATAGAATACAATACATTTGATGACCAGTCCCATGGGACATCGTTGAATTAGTCCACAACGTAGTGATGGCAGTGGGGGGTCAAAATGAATTTTGAGCTGAAAGACAGAGCAATACCTGAATTAATTTCATTTGTGTTGTAAAAACCAACACAGGAATAGTTAAAGATAACACTTTAATTTCACAACTTTTTGTTTTCTTCCAGCTCTGTTGTTCCTTCCAAATCCTCTCCAATTCAACATTCATCTATCTTCCTACTATTAAATGCTATGTAATGTATCTACTCACAATGTCGAAAGACAAACAATAAAAGAACTTCCATAATATAACCTATACAACTATCAGACCTGGAGAATAGATATGCTGATGCATTGCTCATACTCATATGTGCATGCACCAACATGATTAATGATTATTCAAATTAACATGTTCAATATTCACACTTTAATGATCATTTTGCAATATACATCTGTGTGTTTGTGTGTGCATGTACATGCACAGCAATATGATTGATTATTCACATTTACATAGTCAATATTAAACATTTTAATGATCACTTAGATAACAGACATAAGTGATAATAAATACACAAGAATTATTCTTGTGCTCGGTATGTGATGTTATATATCTGGTTCCAGAAAAAAAAATGAATTTAGGAACCATGCAGAAAGAACTGCATGGGACCAGGAGTAAATGGATTTAATGATAACATATTCTTAGCTGTTCCTTCTCTAAATGCCTATATGTCTGTCTGTCAATTCACCAGATATCTTCAGAATGGCTTGTACATTTTCTATGATGAGCTATTTTTGAGAAATTTGCTGAAGTTCATCTGATTTTTACTTACTGCAGATGCATGTATCACAATTGCATCAAACACAAAATTTTATCAAGATGTGGAGAAACTGTGCTACAGGGCATGATTGATAGACTAATTGAAATTGGAAGGTGCTATGGCATGGAAATGAATGTGGAGAAAACAAAAGTAATGAAAATTTCGAGACAACCAACCCCAGTCACAATAAAGATAGACCAAAAACAACTGGATAATGTGAAATGTTTTAAATATTTGGGTAGCTTGTTAACAGATGATG